CGGGGCGAATAACGCATCGGCTTCAATGGCAGGCAGTAGCGGCAGCAGCAGCAGCAGTGGTGGCGATCAGGTTCATTGAATCGAGCCTACCTCCAGGTTCGATGAACCTAGTCACGCAGGAGCAGTCGTGGTGATGCAGGTTCATCGAATCAGGTCATATTTCTGCTGGATGGAGGAGGAGCTTGGCTTGGGCCCACACAACTTTTCCAGGTTCAGTGAACCTGGTCATCATCCAGCAGCAGTGATCGTTACACGCAGGTTCATTGAACCGGGTCGTAGCTCTGCTGGATGAGGAACTTGGACTTACCAAGCCCCTCCAGGTTCAATGAACCTGGTCAACCAGCGGCTGTGGATGTGACACAGGTTCGTTGAACCAGGTCGTGGTTCTGCTGGATGAGGAACTTGGACTCACCGATCCCCCCCAGGTTCAATGAACCTGGTCAACCAGCGGCTGTGGGGGTGACGCAGGTTCGTTGAATTGGGTTGTGGTCTGCTGCATGAGGAACTTGGACTTGCCAACCCCCTCCAGGTTCAGTGAACCTGGTCAACTAGCGGCTGTGGAGGTGACGCAGGTTCGTTGAATCGGGTCGTAGTTTTGCTGGATGAGGAACTTGGTCCCACCCACCCCCTCCACATTATACGGTGCAGCATCTGCTGTGAACAAAAGGGTGCCGGTCCTGTTGGGTTCGTGGGGAAGAGGGCGGCATGGAAAAGGAAGGATAAGTTATACCACACCACCCTTCACCCCACCCTTCACCCCACCCTTCACCCCACCCTTCACCCCACCCTTCACCCCACCCTTCACCCCACCCTTCACCCTTCCCCAGTCATATGGTGCAGTCAAATGGGGCAGCATCTGATCTGATGCCTACATGAGGGAGCCAGTCCTGCCAGATTTGATTTGAGCACATTGGGGTCACTCATTGCCTCTGCCAGCTCGCGAGCCAAGGTGGAGAGCAGCGAATCACCTCTTCGCCTTCTTCCTGCTTCTTCCCCCCCCCTCCCCCTCTCTCCCTCCCCCATCCAGTACTCACTTCCAGGCGCATAGGTCGCCATTCTCCTGCCCAGCAGCGTCGTACCAATTCATGACATAGGGGCTCGTGGCCTCTATAAGCTCGTGGGCAAACGTGGAGAGCAGCGAGTCGCCTCTTCGCCCCCTCTCCCCTTCACTCCTCCTTTGCTTCTCCCCCCCCCACCAATACTCACTTCCAGGCGCATAGGTCGCCATTCTCCTGCCCAGCAGTGTCGTATCAATTCATCACATAGGGATCACTCGTTGCCTCTATAAGCTCGTGGGCAAACGTGGAGAGCAGCGAGTCGAGTACAGCCGAACCCCCTCTTCCCTTCAACCCCCCTATTCCCTTCACCCCTCCCCTCTTCCCTTCACCCCCCCCCCCTTCTTCTCTCCCACCCCCCAATACTCACTTCCAGGCACATATGTCGCCATTCTCCTGTCCCGAAGCGTCATACCAATTCATCACGTAGGGATCGCTGGTCGCCTCTATAAGCTCGTGAGCAAACGTGGAGAGCAGCGAGTCAAACGACTTGTCGCTGTTGGGACTGTCGTTGAATGCAAAGGCAGCCATCCAGCAGCTGCTGGGGCACTGGAGGGTTGGTGTGGGTGGAGGGGGGTTCCGGGCGGTGAGGAGGGGATAATTGGGTGCAAAGGTGAGGAGCAGCGAGTCAAAGGCCCGGTTGCTGTTGGGACTATCGTTGAATGCAAAGGCAGCCATCCAACAGCTGCTGGGGCACTGGAGGGTGCAATAGGGTGGGGGAAAGGAGGGGTGAGGGGGGAGGGCGAGGCGAGGGAAGGGGGGTTGGGGAGAGGAGGTGGAGGAGAGCAGCGAGTCGAACGACTTATCGCTGTTGGGGCTGTCGTTGAATGCAAAGGCAGCCATCCAGCACCTGCTGGGGAACTGGTGGGATGGATTTGGGATGGAAGAGGGGATTGGAAGGGACGATTATGGAAGATGGTGGATGGGAACGAATCGAAAGACTTATCGCGCTATCGTTGAAGGCAAAGGCAGCCATCCAACAGCTGCTGGGGCACTGACGGGATGGGTGCAATGGGGCAATGGGGTGCAGGGGGGGGCGGAGAAAGGAAAAAGGGGGGATAACTGTGCAAGAAGGTGGAGAGCAGCGAATAGAACGACTTATCCTTGTTGGGGCTGTCATTGAATGCAAAGGCACCGAGCCAACAATTGCTGGGGCACTGAGAGAGTGGGAGAGGGATGGCGAAATGTTTGATTGAGGGGTAGTGGAGAGAAATGGGCTGTCAATATGATGAGCCACCTTGATAAGCTCTTTCTGAGCTCAGCACTCTCTGGCAACTTTCACACCACTCTCAACCCTCTAAAACCACTCTCACCACCCCCTCACCACTCTCAACCATCTATAACCACTCTCTACCACAGCACACACCTTGACAGGGCTGCCCACATAAGCCACTTTGATGAGCTTCTTCCGAATCCGCACAAAGTCATGCCACCCACAGTAGGCACTGCACATGCCGCCCGAGCTGTCCCTCTGTTGGAGAGGTGAGTGGGGAGGAGTCTTTCTCTGAGTCGACTCAAAAACAGATTATTGAGTGGAGAGGTGAGTGGGGAGGAGTCTATTTCTGAGTCGACTCAAAAACAGATTATTGAGTGGAGAGGTGAGTGGGGAGGAGTCTATTTCTGAGTCGACTCAAAAACAGATTATTGAGTGGAGCGGTGAGTGGGGAAGAGTCTATTTTTGAGTCGACTAAAAAATAGATAATTGAGTGGAGAGGTGAGTGGGGAGGAGTCTATTTCGGAGTCGACTCAAAAACAGATTATTGAGTGGAGAGGTGAGTGGGGAGGAGTCTATTTCTGAGTCGACTCAACAACAGATTATTGAGTGGAGAGGTGAGTGGGGAGGAGTCTATTTCTGAGTCGACTCAAAAACAGATTATTGAGTGGAGAGGTAAGTGGGGAGGAGTCTATTTCTGAGTCGACTCAAAAACAGATTATTGAGTGGAGAGGTGAGTGGGGAGGAGTCTATTTTTGAGTCGACTAAAAAATAGATTATTGAGTGGAGAGGTGAGTGGGAGGAGTCTATTTTTGAGTCGACTAAAAAATAGATTATTGAGTGGAGAGGTGAGTGGGTAAGAGTCTATTTTTGAGTCGACTAAAAAATAGATTATTGAGTGGAGAGGTGAGTGGGGAGGAGTCTATTTTTGAGTCGACTAAAAAATAGATTATTGAGTGGAGAGGTGAGTGGGGAGGAGTCTATTTTTGAGTCGACTAAAAAAATAGATTATTGAGTGGAGAGGTGAGTGGGGAGGAGTCTATTTTTGAGTAGACTCAAAAATTGAGTGGAGAGGTGAGTGGGGAAGTGAGCGTGCCACCCGCAGTAAGCGCTGCACATGCCGCCCTGGCTGTCCCTCTGCTGCCACACCCACCACCACCGCACTGCACCTCCACGCACCTGAGCAACACTCCCGTCGCCGATCACAAAGTACACTCCATCCTCATCAAGGGGGAACGCGCCGCTGTTCATTCTCTTCTTTACCACCCGCTTTATCGACTTGAGCCCATACAGCAGCTTAAGAGGCTGTCTCACGTGGTGCTCCTAGTGGGATGGGGAGAGAAGCACTCACCTTGAGCCCGAACAGCAGCCATGTTACAACCACCACACCCACCACCACCGCACTGCACCTCCACGCACCTGAGCAACACTCCCATCGCCGATCACGAAGTACACTCCATCCTCAGCAACCGGAAAAGCGCCGCTGCTCATTCTCTTCTTAACCACCCGCTTTACTGTGACCACCAGTCCCACCACCACCCCACAGCACACACTGTGATCACCACCTTTACTACACAGCACACACCTGAGCCACGCTCCCATCGCTGATCACAAAGTACACTCCATCCTCATCAACCGGAAAAGCGCCGCTGCTCATTCTCTTCTTAACCACCCGCTTTACTGTGACCACCAGTCCCACCACCACCCCACAGCACACACTGTGATCACCACCTTTACAACACAGCACACACCTGAGCGACGCTCCCATCGCCGATCACAAAGTACACTCCATCCTCATCAACCGGAAAAGCGCCGCTGCTCATTCTCTTCTTAACCACCCGCTTTACTGTGACCACCAGTCCCACCACCACCCCATAGCACACACTGTGATCACCACCTTTACTACACAGCACACACCTGAGCCACGCTCCCATCGCCGATCACAAAGTACACTCCATCCTCATCAACCGGAAAAGCGCCGCTGCTCATTCTCTTCTTAACCACCCGCTTTACTGTGACCACCAGTCCCACCACCACCCCACAGCACACACTGTGATCACCACCTTTACTACACAGCACACACCTGAGCCACGCTCCCATCGCCGATCACAAAGTACACTCCATCCTCATCAACCGGAAAAGCGCCGCTGCTCATTCTCTTCTTAACCACCCGCTTTACTGTGACCACCAGTCCCACCACCACCCCACAGCACACACTGTGATCACCACCTTTACTACACAGCACACACCTGAGCCACGCTCCCATCGCCGATCACAAAGTACACTCCATCCTCATCAACCGGAAAAGCGCCGCTGCTCATTCTCTTCTTAACCACCCGCTTTACTGTGACCACCAGTCCCACCACCACCCCACAGCACACACTGTGATCACCACCTTTACTACACAGCACACACCTGAGCCACGCTCCCATCGCCGATCACAAAGTACACTCCATCCTCATCAACCGGAAAAGCGCCGCTGCTCATTCTCTTCTTAACCACCCGCTTTACTGTGACCACCAGTCCCACCACCACCCCACAGCACACACTGTGATCACCACCTTTACTACACAGCACACACCTGAGCCACGCTCCCATCGCCGATCACAAAGTACACTCCATCCTCATCAACCGGAAAAGCGCCGCTGCTCATTCTCTTCTTAACCACCCGCTTTACTGTGACCACCAGTCCCACCACCACCCCACAGCACACACTGTGATCACCACCTTTACTACACAGCACACACCTGAGCCACGCTCCCATCGCCGATCACAAAGTACACTCCATCCTCATCAACCGGAAAAGCGCCGCTGTTCATTCTCTTCTTCACCACCCGCTTTATCGACTTGAGCCCGTACAGCAGCCTGAGGGGACGCCTCACGTGGTGCTCCCTTGCTAGAGCCACTGAGGAGGAGACGTGGCGGCCGGAGCAGTCGTAGTAGAGAGTGTTGGTCCGCCACCAGTCAGCAACTGTGAGGTGGGAACGGGGAGGGGAAGGGAGAAGCGGAGGGAGACACACCCCACAGGTTCTTCCTTGCCCTTGTGGTGCTCCTTGGCTAGGAGGAGAACAGAAGAGGAGACGAGGAGAACAGAAGAGGAGACGTAGCGGCCGTTGCGGTCATAGTTCGGAGAAGAATTCCTCACCTGTGCCTTCAGTGCTGCTCAAGGAGTGGATGAAAGTTCGGAGAAGACTCTTCTGGGTGTCGGAGAAGCTTCCGTACCACACGAGGTAGACGCGGATAGGGTTGTTCATTACCCCGCACCACTTGGGGTCCTTTGCGCAAACACCCTGCCCGCAGAAGGACATTATTTGCGGGCCCAGATCTGATGGGATGACTGGCAATTGGCTGGCGTTGGGGCAGTGGACAGGAAAGAGAAAGCGACTGATTTCTTTTGAGACGTCTCAAAACATCACTTTTATCACGTGGTTATTTGCGGGCCCAAATCTGATGGGACGACTGGCAATTGGCTGGCGTTTGGGCAGTGGGGAGGGAAGAGAAAGCGACTGATATGTCTCTATTACATGTAATCGCATGGAGAAAAAGTGGGAGAGCGAGGACGAGAGGGGGGCACCTTGGTTGAAGGGGAGTAGGGCGCAGGGGGAGCGAAGGGAGAACCGGGCCAAGGGGGAATCGGGCGAAGGCGGGGTGGGGCGTAACTGGGAGAGCGAGTGGCAGTGGGAGCAATGTTGCTGGGCCTGGGTTTGACAGTTGTTGGAGTCAGCACCATGGGCCACAGCAGCACGGCTTTCACTTGCCTCATGCCCCAACTAAACAGAGAGTGGAACATAGGGAGAGTGCGGCGTACCTGGGAGAGCGAGTGGCAGTGGGAGCAATGTTGCTGGGTCTGGGTCTGACAGCAGTTGGATCGGAGGTGAAGGGCTGCTTCAGCCTGGCTTGCATCACTCTCCTTGGACACACAAAACTGCTGTTGCTGCTTCTAAAACTTCTTCCGTTGATGCGTCTAAGAGGTGAGTGTATTGAATTGACTCTGCTTCTAAGAGTGCGGTTTAGATGCAAACGGCGCCAAGCCGATGCATCCAAACTGAAAGCAGAACGTCTGGTGTGTGGGATACCGCGGACGGGAGGGTCTCTGGGATGAGAAGCCGTTGAACGGGTGCGATTCAAATGCAATCCGCGCCAAGCCGTTGGATCCAATCTAAAGGACGAACGGCTGGTGTGTGGGATAACGCGGACGGGAAGGTCTCTGAGATGATCAGCTGCGTTATAAGCAGACTTGATAGAAGTGGATGGGGTGGAGGGCGATTCGGCACAAGCAGCAACCGCGATTGTAGCACATGAGAGTAAAAGGTGAATCTGGCACGAAAGACGGGATGGGGAAAGAGGAGGGTGAGAAACGGATTGCTTTTGCAAATCAACAAACGCTGTAGACACGATAGCAACACATCAAAGTACTATAAGGTGGATCGGGCATGAGGAAAGAGAAATCACAATGGGGGGGAGAGAGGGGAGGGAAGGTACATTCGAGCATGCATTCGCGAGGATGAAACGACTGCATTTGCGATGATGAAACGACAACGCCAGGATTCCATTCCAGTAAGTCGACGCGTACGTGGTACAACGGTCGCGACGGGTGGCGAAATTTCGTCTGTCCTCGTCGCTTCTTGGCGGAACCTTGGAGTTGACGGTAGAATTTCCGGGCCATAGCCGCGCCACGCCTGAAAAGAAAACGGACGGCGACGGTCAGCCTTGTGTCCGTCAAAACGTACTTTTGTTCGTTTTGATTATTGACTGGAACCTGTAGGACAATCGTTGAAGTGGAACCGAGTCGGAGGAAGACGGGAACAGACGGAGACAGACGGTGACTGACGGAGATAGACGGAGACAGTTGAAGATAGACGGAGTCACACGGAGGCGAAATGGAGTCGAATTCAAGAGACGTGTCCTAAAAGGTGCATACATTCGCAAGACTACAGCTGCTGAAGCTTCCACTCGCACGTCGGAACCCGCACCGACAAGGAATTTGGAATTGCAGATCACTGATAATGATGCTCCAGCTTGCGGCTAGAGGTAATGCACTAGGAAGTAGGCAGGCCAAGACGGCATTAGAATACGGCGATTGAAGACAGCAACCAACCTCCAACAGCTACCTACCAACCACCGGGACGCAAGAGCAAAGCAAGCCATTCCCTTGATACGAACTGGACTGGACCAGGAGGACGCCGCTGGCACACCATGGCTTGCCATACCAATGTATTAGGAACATATTCTTCTTGTATGTTAACAATTGCTGAACCGAACAATAAAAATGCGTCACCCAACTCAACCCAGCCCAACCATCCCAGCACTACAGAGTTTGAAACTGCACGAGTCTGGTCAAGTGATTCCCCTTTCCCCTTCCGCCTCTTCCCCTCTTCTCCAAGGCTTTTCCTCCACCTGGTCAAGTGATTCCCCCCTCCTTTACCTTTACCTCCACCTTCCTCCACCTTGTCCCCCTCCCAGACCCCTCTCCGCTTCATCCCCCCACCCCCACCAACCTACTCTTCCCCCAACCTGCCCCTCGGATTCCCCGCCCCCACCCAGCTGTATTTCCTTGACGGTGGGCAGGTTGCAATCACCAAATTCTGTTGTGCTTGGCAGGCCCGCTGGCCCGCCAGACCTGTCACCGACGGAAACATACCAGCCACACAAAGCACAGGAAATGACGGAAATGCACGTCATCCTTTTTTGTGAACAAAATTTAGCGGGGTTTTCAGTTGACAACGCACGGTTTTCGAAACTGCACGCCAAATGCGCAGTTTCATCGCTTCTGGGGCAGGGTTACTGCCCGTTTTTCGTTTACAGCGCAGAGTTTGTGCGATTTCTACGCAGCTCGACGCTCATTCGTCTAAATATCCGAAAACGACAAGCCTGCAATGTAACAGAAAATTTATTTAACTCAGTCAGGTGTTTCAAAATTTTCACGCCCATATAGAGAGTGCATCAATCCTAAACATCCAGTCGCGTGGAGTTTAGGGTTGATGCTCCCTCGACGGCCCCATTAAAATATATTTATATATATATATATATATATATATCAATCGTGACAAAGGGAATCAGCCCTGAACACTTTCGGCCAATGTTTAGGGTTGATGCTCCCTAAACACTTCCGCCCGGTGTTTAGGGTTGATGCTCCCTAAACACCCCGCCCGGTGTTTAGGGTTGATGCTCCCTGAACAGCATGCCATCCGAGAGGGTAATATATTTTCGTCTGCCCAAAATTCAGGTGCAAACAGTTCGATGGCCGTCAATCCAACCGGAGTTGTCGGTCCGTCAACATTTTGACCAATGAAATCTTTACTGCGTAGAAATCTCACTAACTATGCGCTGTGATCGAAAACTGGGCACTAACAGTGCGCCAGAAGCGACAATGCTGCGCTTTTTTCGTATATTTTCAGTAACAGTGCGGGATTAACTAAAAACCCAAATTTAGCGCCCTTGCTTGCCGCCGTGACAGATTTGTCCTTGACCAATGGTAAACTTGTCTGGCAATCCTTGTTTCGCAGCTTGGCATGAGATACTGTATGGCAGGCTCGGCGGGCAGATAGCCAAGCTTGCCAATGGAAGAAATGACCTTCGCCAGCCCCCAAATAGCCTTCGTCGACAGTTCGCGAATTTCTGTAACTGACAGTGTTCGCCGCCGGAATCCTGAGATTCTCGTGGCGCGTTTGCAGGAGCAAGGTGACCATTGAGCGGACTCGAAAGCTGACTTTTGGGTCGACTCAAAAGGACAAGCGGCCTATCAGTCGACTCAAAAGTCGGAACAAGGCATCCTGCCAGTGGTCACATAAAAATCGCCATGCCCAAGCCAATCAGCACCACGAGCCAGGCTACTCCCCGTTGCCCACGCGCTGTAACATTCAACCGTTGAGCCATGTGATGTGAGCAAAGCAGATTCATCGCCGTAGCCATGACATCACACAACAAACCCCATGCCCAACCAATCACACACATCACCAACAAACTAATCTCGAGGCTCGCGGCGCAACCGAAGTTTGCTTGCTCTACTCTGCTCACTCCCTCCGCCTTTCAGAAAAGCCTTCCCGCCGCCTAGACAGATGTCGGCAGGGGGGCAAAACAGCACCAACAAATCCCATGTTGCAGCAATGCCGCGTCTCCTTCCCCGCATCTCGCGCGATAGGCAACAGGGTTCCAATTTTTGCGACGGAGGCCAGGTTGCTGCAAGTGGCTGTCGGCCGAAACTGTCGTCGACTCGACAACCGCTGCGAGTGTTCGCGTCTCGAGGGGGGGACGAGCAGGGCTGCAGGAACCGTTCCTGTGACAGAGCACACCATTTGATAGGCTAATGCGGCCAGCGATAACCCGTTGTATCAGATGACCATATCACGCCGACAGATTATCTTAGGGAGTCACCAACAGGCTATCACAGAGCCTACTACTTATCCTCGAAAATCGTCGTGGTTGTCAAGTATGTGTAATTACCGCTTATCATTTGATCTCGTATCAGAGGCTCTAGCAGAACCTCCATCCCCCACGTCCTGGCACCATGATCCAACCTATTACTAACAGCAAGTTCGTTAGCAAGTACTGCTTTAGCAGGCACAATGCCACTTCGCCACGAACGAGGCCCTCCAGACCTTACCGCCTCGCTCTCTTGCTTCTCGTGTGTGGCCTCGTTCTAACCTTCGCGCCTTGGGTTAGTACCAAGTTGAATCGCCATGTTAAGGTGTTCGAGTTTCACAGGCGACAGCTGCTCTCACCACAGTCGCCATTGACCTCTTTACAGTCAGCGACAGAATCTGTAACCAAGTTACCGTCCACGTTCGCCAGATCCGTTTTCAGGACGCTCCTTCCACTAACAAAACCTCGTGAGTCGGCTGATTCAACAACAGGAAACGACGATGCGGACTCTGGGATCATTAGTGCTTCGGACTTATCGGCGTACACGAATTTGAGTCCTCTGCATATGCGTCGCCAAGTCAAACGAGACTACTTCCAGCCAAATGTCGCACTCCGGGACGCGACACGTGTCAGCAACGGGAAGCGAAGGCACAGCACGGGGGATCACCACAAGAGCGACGGAAACGGTATCCCCGCCGACAGCGACGGGAGTAGCAGCAGCAAGAGCACTGACAATCAACTTGAAGTCTGCGTGGCTATAGCTTCCATGCCACGTGTCTTTCCTAAACGACGCAAGCTGCCACCGTGGCACTTCCCGGTGTCTCTTCTTGAGATGCTGGAACGGCGACGGTCCCCGTCTAACGTTTCTGGCGGTTTTAAAGACATGAACGTCGTGGCCTACAGCTCTGGCTGCGACGAAAAACGGGAAAATCTACAGCGCCTCAAGTCCTCCTCGAAGGACGGGAAAGAAGCAGCACCCGCAAGTCCTCCTCCTCCGTCAGACGCCAGCGGCGCTTCGGAGGAGGACCTAGTACGGCCTACTACGACGAGAAGAAGCTTGATCGACGGAGCGACCCGGCGCCACGTGGAATCAGCTACCGAGCCGATACTACCAGCTCCTCCTGTGGAAGACTTGGAAGAACGGAAGGAGACGATGTCGGGAGTTCTGCATGAGAAAGCTCTCAAATTGGCTGCACGAGAATCGTCGCTGAATGTAACGGTGTTACCATCTCGGAAAGATGCGTGCGACTTCGTTCAGGAAGACGAGGAGGTGTTGCGAGAGTTGGGCGTGACAAAAGAGATGGCCAGCGACGGCTGGAAACCTTGGCGATGGCGAACGAAGCTGGTAATGGATTTCGTCTACGTAATGCGACAGTGCATGGCGACGAAACCGAAATACATCCTGCTGCTGCAAGACGATACGAGGCCAGCCCGACTCTACGACATCGGTATTGAGAAATTCATTAACGAGGATATGAAGGATAAGGAGTGGACGATTCTATCGCTTTACTACCCCGAATCGTACCTCTGGTCGTATGAGCATGGCGGGGAATATCTAATTCCCTGCTGCGCTCAGGCTCTGCTTTTCAACGTATCGGCGCTCGAAGACCTGCTAGGGTTTGTGGAGGAACATTTCACGGAGGCTCCTATGGATTGGCTGCTAAACAAATACCTAACTAGCGCCAACCGGACGGGTTACGTGCACGTGCCGTCGCTATTTCAACACGTCGGCGACGTGCGGACCAAAGCACCAGGAGTCTCTTCGCGCCCGCATCGTGACCGTCGCTTTCATGACGACTACGTAGTTTATCAACTGAGGGCAGCTGGATCAACGGATATTCTCGAGGCTGCGGGCTATGGGGCAGACGGCGGGAATTATTTCGGGGAAAGCTTCGCAGAGGTGGAAATTCGGCGGCAAATGTTCAGGACATACCCGAAAGAAGCCCTAGGTAATCCGTTACTAGGACCTGAGGCTATTGTTATGAGCTGAACTAAGAGAGTGCGCGGAAAGGAATTTGTGATCCCTTAGAACTATGTACATCCTGGTCCTCTTGTGCTGTACATATTGAGCGGCATAATGATGTAAACTGACAAGTTTACAAGCCATTTTCATCTTGTTATGTGAGCCCATGTTGACAACTGTGAGTTCCTGGCCTGAAAATTGCATTAATAAGGGCGAACAATAACATACGGGAAGATTGTAGGATGAGATGTGGTGTGCATACAGGGGCAACAGAAGAGGGGGTTTTAGTGTTTTTGGGGTCAGGTGTAGTGACCTGTGTAGCCCAAATAACTTCGCTTGCCGCCGTGGCAGCTTTGTGAGCCTTTACCAATGGGGCATCTTGTCTGGCGAATGGCATGGCAACCCTGTTGCGGGCCTCGGCGTGAGAAGAAATGGTCAGACCGGGCAAATGGACAGGCTGGGCAAACGGCCAGGTTGCCAACTCTGGGAAATTGAAAAATGCATGAGTCCCAGTCTCTCGCCTGGCACATTTGCGTTGCGAAAAAACTGTAGGTCGATGGGTTTTCGCGAGTAATTTCGGCCTCACACAAACAGCCTCCTCCCATTTCGCATGACAGCATTTGCGTCTTCGCGAACCATTTTCAGTCACCTGTGGTGCCTGGCACAAACCTGAGATTCTCGTTGCGGGTTTGCAGGAAACATTCGTCCAGTGGTTACAGAATACGCCTCGCCCAAGCCAATCAGCACCACCTTCAATCACTCCCCACTACCCCACCCAGCCCATCCCCACCAGTGAATACATCCGACTATCAAACCATTTGAG